GGTTAGGCTACCAGACCCGTAATCGCGCGACTGTATGTCTGGAGGTTCGAGCCTCAGCTCGGTGCGTCCGACGTTGTGTCGGGACAGGCGCTTTCACACGAATTTCCCTTTTGGCCTGGTCCTTTCGGAGGTGGACTTTGAACTCGGAGGTCCCGCCTCTTATATAACTTAATAGTGTTGATAGGGGTGTTAAACTATACCATTTCTAAAGTTTGGCCTTGACATGTTATCATGGTTCTCTTCCCCAGCGGGTTCAGACAGAGAAGAGAGCCGGCCCGTGCACAACTCACTCCCCGCTAAGACGCCGGCCCTGAGGAACACCGGCATCCGGAGTAGTCTGGTCAGGGGGGAACAACTCCTCTCACAACGGAACTCAGGTACAAGTTCTCTTTTTTCTTCGAAATTTGTGAGGCAGCGTCGTGGAATCAGGCTCTCGTCAATGTTTATGCATGTAAAGTTATTGGTATCATCTTAAAGCTTGTTCACTTGTCTTTATTTTGGATGCAAAAAATTTTCCTAAATACAAGTCGAGATATTTGCAAAAGAAGGAAGTGGTGGTCACCTGTTTTCAGAGGTAAAATTAGTGAGAAAATGGTCGCCAAATATTAGTTATTTCCTTAGCTTAAGAGTCCGTGGTAACTGAAGATTTACATTTTTTATGCCTTTAATCAACACTTTTCAGAAAAATCCACATAGAAATGAGTTCTTTAATGGGCATGAAAGGTGTTGTGCCAAAAAACAATAATTTGATCAAAATTCACAAATCTGCGGAAAAATGCAAGTTTCTTCACGTTGATTATATTGACGAGAGCCTGATTCCACCACACTGCCTCACATATTATCATTCCTACACAGAAATTGAACTCGGTGTTCAGCGTGCCCGGGCGAGGTACGTAACCCATACACAACAGATTACTGTAAAAGTGTAACATCCCTTGCAACGCTTTTATGTTATTTGAAACGGAGAGAGGGGTCTTCGAATTGAACTACCATCCACGAAATGACTGAGCCAAAATGCTAAATTACTTGTAAAGTGCCTTTCCTAAGGACACAACGTCGGACTGAGCGGAGGCTCGAACCCCCGAAGCCGCAATCTCACTATTACTGTACTGGTCTGGTGGTAGTCTAACTAACCACTAGGCTACCGGCGCCACTTTTATGGTTACGTCATTTCCTGTGTCCCCAACAGGTCGAGTAGAAGCCATTTCTCTAGACTAACACAGCATCTAGACATGGATAGCTGGTGCCTCCATAAATAAATTATTAATGTTTCAGGATTCATGAACGTAAAAGGGGGGGAAATTTGATCGAAAGACAGAGAAGACCGAGGTTAAAACAACATCCAAACATAGTTAGCGGATTCTCACAAGAAAAGGAATCAGTTTGAGCACTTTCTCCCAAATGCAGTCTCAAGAAGGCGCTATCTTAAACGGCACCGTTCTGCAGACGTACATCATTATTTGCCCTTGTTTGAATTTATGTAGATATATTATTATAAATATTTTACATCCCCTTCAATACAGTTTTAGATTACTTAGACGGTGGTCTGGTTCTACCAAGCCTCAAAGGGGCAATCCAGGCTGAAAAGGATACAACATCCAAGCAGTCAGACGGAGACACTCGATTAAAATCACATCTTGTGAATGCTACAGTTCGAACTAGTGTGCATGTTTCAGAAAATTAAGATCGTGTATGGCTTCTCGACCTTTTGATTAAGATCGAAGTGTAGTAGCATAAAAAATATCTGTTCCTGGCTTTTCGGCGTCATGGCTGAGACCAAACCAGGAGTGATGTTACTTGAAGCTGAAGCTTTTGCTTCAATTATATCTTGAGGACGGACATTAAGTCCGCTAATTTTTTTTTCAAGATCTTTTATTCGTTGCCTGCCTTCTGGCGAAAGGGCTGAGGTCCAGGAGGTCTTTAAGTTTTTTAAAATAGAAGTGTATTTCTCCTTTGTACGCAAACGAGATTTTGTCATTCAAGTTTTCAGTATGACAAATTCTCCTGTAACATCACTCATGTTTAACCTTATACTATTAGCATTAAATAAATACCAAACTAAGTAGAAATGGATGACCTACATAATAAACTTATAGTTGGCTGCTACATCACAAACGTCGATTTAAAAGAACATACTTTTAGTTGCCTTTTTTATTTTGTAAGAGCCGCTAATGTACAGGATATGTTTAAATAACCCAGGATCTTTTGCCAGGAGCATGAGGCAACAGTCATGACGGAACCGTTAAAGTAGGCCTAAAGTAGAAATAAAAACTACGCTTTTGATGAGGAGAGGCGGCACTCAAGAAGGATTTTTTAAACTTTCTTTTTAAAGGAGTGGGGGAAAGGGGGATGGTTCCAGAAGTACGACCGTGCTTGTTAATGTTTTAAGAAATCGCTTTTCAAATTATGTGAATTTTATTTGTTTCTTTCTTTTTGTAAAGTGTTTTACGGCGCTCGCAACTGCATAAGATCATATGAGCGCGCGGGACACACCT